GAGAATAAAACAACTCATAATTTACAAATGTTTCTGACATTTAAAAAGAAAATTATTGCTCAAAATAGCCACCCTTCTTTTCACTAACAGTCATAAGCCTTCCATTCATTGAGTTTGTCATTTCCTTGATCTGTTGACTATCAACGTTTTGTGCAGCAGCAACCACAGCCTCCCAGACACTGTTCAGAGAGGTGTAGTGTTTTCCTTCACTGTAAATCTCCCATTTAATAAGGGCCCACTTCTTAAATGGGAGACATTTAAGAAGTTCTCAATAGGGTTTAGGTCAGGTCAGGAAGGGGGTCATGTCATTATTCTTTCATATTTAAGGCCTTTACTGGCTAGCCACACAGTGGAGTACTTCAATGCATGCGATGGAGCATTGTCCTGCATAAATATCATGGTTTCCTTGAAAAATGCAGACTTTTTCCTGTACCAAGTGTCTTCTAAAAACTGGCAGTAGGTTTGGGAGTTCATTTTGAGTCCATCTTAAACCCGAAAAAGGTCCAACTGGCTCATCTCTAATACCAGTCCATACTAGTACCCCACCTCCACCTTGCTGATGTCTGAGTTGAAGTGGAGCTCTGTGCCAGTTACTTATCCAGCCATGGGCCCACCCATCTGGTTCATCAAGAGCCACTCATCTCATTAGTCCATAAAACCTTTGAAAAATCTGTATTCAGATATTTCTTGGCCCAGTCTTGACGTTTCAACCTATGTGTCTTGTTCAGTGGTGGTCGGGTTTCAGCCTTGCTTACCTTGGCTCTGAGCACTGAACAGCTTGTACTTCTGGGCACTCCAGGTAGGCTGGAATTTGACAGCAGTGGAGGATAATGGGGTTCCCGGTAGCTTCACGTTTGATTCTTCTCAAATCTTTGGCAGTCAATTTGCGTCTTTCTTTCTCAACATTTTTCTTGTGACCCCGTTGACCATTTACAACAAAATGTTTGATGGTTCTGTGATCACACCCCAATATCTTAGCAATTTCAAGAGTGTTGCATCCCTCTGAAAGACTTTTTACAATTTTTGACTTTTTAGAGTCAGTTAAATCTTAGGCCACACCCTCTATCTTTACACAAATACACAACACCTGATATGCTTAAAACCAATAATCATTCATTCAACAAATGATTTGGTCAATATACTAGAAAATTAAATATTTTATAAAATAAAATAAAAACACACAAAGTGTGTATACAACCCTTTACCACTGACTACCTACTCTGGCATTCGTCTAAGGATATGTTTATATTTGTCAATTATGGCACCAACGCTATCCCATTCTTTTGCGCTATGGGATTGTTTGAAAACAAATGCTTCGTTGGTGTCCGATTTCACTTCTCTAGTTAATTTGTTTCATAACCCTTATTCCCCTCCAGGTATGGATATTCAAGCATTTAAATGGGTGACTGACAAAGGCCTTGACAGTATCAGGCATTTTTTCACCCATTGAGCCCTTTTCACTCTCTCCCATTGTGTATCTAATCTGGAGATGCCCGTCCCGATAGTTCTGTTTTCATGAAATAACTCATTTTTTGTGCACTTTTAGGTCCCACTCAGTTGAACCCCCCTCCTTAATGGCTTGGTGCACTAATGATCAGGGTTCGAGAGGTGGTATCTTAGGATATATGCATCGTTGCTTGCCCCCCCGTAATCGAGAGGTACCTTGATTATGTTATATACCCGGCTTATTTGTATTCCCAACTTCAGGTCCTAAATGTGTCTCTGATGGAAGTCAGTTTTAAGGTTTGGACTACATGGTAATTAGTCCCACTCTTGCCTTGACAGGATGTATCTAAATGTTTTGGTTCATAAAAAAGTCTCTAGCCTTATTAATGATAAGCAAAGCCAGTTTGAACAACCATGGGAACCATGAGCAGCCTATGTGAATGTGCCTCTTGCTTCATCTCAGATGACTGTTGAGGCAACTTTTTTTTTCTCTTCTTGCGAATCCTAGTTTTCTTCTTTTTACACCTCCTTCTTTCTTTCCCTTTGGTTCCTACCCTTACACCTGGCCAAGTTTGTTTGTACCTTTAACAAAGAATGTCAGCAGCCTTCTGAGCTGGTCTTTTTTGTTTCCAAGTGCAACTGTTTAGTTTTGCACTCTTTATGGCAGGGGTGTCAAACTGGCAGCCCTCCAGCTGTTGTGAAACTACAAGTCCCATCATGCCTCTGCCTTTGGGAGCCATGCTTGTAACTGTCAATCTTGCAATGGCTCATGGTTCTTGTAGTTTGGCAACAGCTGGAGGGCTGCCAGTTTGACACCCATGCTTTATGGCATGTAGAGATTTGTCTTAAGGTGACTTTGTGATGTCCTATATCGAATTTTTCTCATCTCTTGTACTTTATACTATGTCTGGCACTGGATTTTGTAAGGAAGACTTTCAGGTCTCACTTCACGCCTATGCTCAGCCTGTTTGTTGGAATACTAGGTTTGTTTTATATTTAGGCTGCTTGTATGCAATATCTTCTTAAAACTATAAATTAAGTTTGGGTGCACCAATCATTAAAAAACAAAACAAAACACATTTCTGATTACCAGCAATCAATGCAAATTTTTTTTTATTCTCAAATATAACATTTTCACTTATTAACAAAGAGTTTTAAATATAAAATTTTTACATTACAATCAAGATTAGCTTAAATAAGGGACCCATTTATAAAAAGCTAACCTTGGTCTTACCACTGCTTTTCTAATACAACCTCCTGCAGAACATTTATAAAGCATTATTGTGTGCCTCATAAATGTCATTTTTTGCATCAGGATTGTGAAGCAAATGATGCCCTAGTCATTCCAACAAATGGGAAAAACAAGTGTGCCAGAAACAGGATGACACCCGTCACATGACCTTGAAGCAGAACGATGCAATGTTTCTTCCTCAGAGTTGGGACCTATGGATATTTCTCTGTACAATATATACCTACTCTACCTCCTTTAAGCAACATACTGAACAATATTTCTGCCTATTGTGATATTTGGATTATATATGAATAAGAGATTTGTAGCAGAGAATAGAGCACAAAATTGACTAACTTTTTATCATAAACAAAAGTTGTGTGTCCATTCCTTTAGGTAATTTGGTTTATTTGGCACTTTGAAAGTCCCTTCCTTTTTGCTCAATTTTGTTGCGTATCAGGTCATGTGACCGTGCGCTACTATTTGTAGGTATTCTCTGCATACATGAATTTTGAACATTATGAATGGCCACCTTCGCACCTTTTCCGTTACACTGCAGGTGCTGACAGCCAGAGTCAGCTATCCATCAGGTAGCAGGCTGGACCCCGACTACATTGTTGGGATCCTTTCAGAGCCTGGAACGGTTCACCATGTCAGCTGACACTGGCAACAGCCTATTATAAGCGGATTCTGGGTCACAGGAGAGCAAAAGTAAATTCACTGCTGTGATCCACAAGAGAAGTATGGCCAAAAAAACCTTTGGCCATGCTTTACTTTTTTAAAGAATCTCATTCACTTTGAATGGGCTGTCAATAGACCACAACACAGAAAAAGCTAGAACTGAGTAAATATTTAATGCAACACATTGCAGCAAAGGACCTCCAGCATTCTATATCTTGTAAAACGACAGAAAACTTCCCTGCTCAACTTACCAACCAAACTGTCCTGTCTAACAGTTCACGTTAAAAATGGCTATGAAGAGAACACTTATAAGTAGGCCCTTGCTATACTTCCAAGTTAAGTTCACTTATACTACCCACTCTTGGCATAGGTATTCGTACTAAATACCATAGAAAATAGACATACCCTGCAGTTATCGTTCACAGAGGTAAACGTTGTATTGGGTAGGTAGACTGCAGATAACAGCTCGAGGTGAGTCTGCACCTTCAGTGAGCAGTAGGTACTATGATGGTGCTTAAGAGAGAGAGCACGGGTAATAGAATGGACTGTACCTGAAAGTGCCCTATCATACCTGTCTGTGCAAAATGCATATTCACCATCATCATAAATATGGTAAACGCCTTTACAAGCAAGATAGCAAGGCAATACCAGTCTTCTTAGTAGCAAGAAGGGTATTGTTTACTGCACAAAATATGAATCTCAATATTAGAACCAAATAAGCCAGTGACCTTTGTAATGGCTAACATAACATGCCTTGTTTTACTAAATTTATCACTGTGTTGTCTTTCTCAGGATGGTGGTACTGGCTTAAAGCGATACTAAAAGGTTCTTATTTTTTTCTTGTAAAATAACAAACATGTCTATACTTACCTACTGTGCGCAGTGGTTTTGCACAGAGCAGTCTAGATCCTCCTCTTCTTGAGTCTCCCGCTGGCTCCTCCTTTCTGTCAAGTGCCCCCATAGCAAGCAGCTTACTATGGGAGCACCTGCTGCTCCGTGTGTCCATTCACACATGGAGCCATGGCTGGGCCCTGCCCTCTCTCTCTTCTCTTTGGCTGACTGGCTGTGATTGACCAATGGCTCTCACTTTCTGTCTCAGCCAATGAGGAGGCAGAGACCCCAGACTGCCAAGGCTGTCATGCACATCGCTGGATCGTGATGGAGCTAGGGGACACTGCTGCACACAGAAGATTTTTGGCCTTTACAACTATTTTAAACTAGAGACATCGCAGACCTTCAAAATGATGTATAGCAGACATACCAGCAGTAATATTTGCTCCTAAAGCTGCATGGCTGACCCACATAAAATGTTACAGACTATGGGCATTAACATTGGTTTTCCCTCAGCAATCAACATTTTCCACAAGTAACTGCACTTGTTAGGATAATCTGCTCTAGATAGCACAGTTTCATTAACTTTTGCATATAGGTGAAACAAAAAGGACATTGATGTTTGAAGTACAACATCAACGGCTATGAATTTCATTTTCAAAAAGGATTGTTCAAAAAATCCTAACTTTTTCTTAACCAGTAGTACATAATACAAGACTGTCAATTTTAATACAGAACAATTAAAAATAGCAAGAATACAGAATTCCTTTTTGCTGATACTGACAACACCTTCACAAATCCTTAAAAAATGCATCTATGGTTTCCGAATTAGATCTCCAAAATAAACAGTCAATGTCTTCAATTTTTTGTTGAGAAAATTCTGTTCTATTTCAACTTGTCCACCAGGGCCAGCCAGAGATGCCACCTAGAACAAATGTATAAAAAAAAATAAGAAAAACAAGTATATACAAAGAAAAAGATCCATAAATGGAATTATTTTAAAATATTCAATATTAACAAAGCTGCATTAAACCCCAAACAAAATGATGCTGCAGTTTTCGAATTCTTGAATGTGGTGATTGAATTTTATTTTTTTTTTTTTTTATTAGGTTTACCGATTTTCACCTGGTGACCTGACCAGTAACACACTTCCTGTCTTTGGGTGTCTCCACTCTAGAGGAGCAACAGAGAAACCTGCAGTCTAAAAGCTGCTGCATGGATTCCCCATCTTTTTTCTGACTAAAACAAGACCACACTATGTTTTTTTTTTTCCTTCCACTATGGGTAAGAGATTGTAAGGAAGGTACTTTTTCCTCCTATGTAACAGTCAGATTACAAGTGACCTCTGAAACTCTCAGTACTAATGAATGGCCACCTTTGGGCCCCCTTCACACCTTTTCTGTTACACTGCAGGTATGTCAACATACTCTATGTTAAAGGAGAAGTATGAGTATATATATATAAAAAAAAAAAAACAAAACAAAAACACCCATACTCACTTTACAGCTTCAGCATCAGTGTGATAATGCAGTTGTCCCATATCAGTTCTAAGACCAAGAACTGTCAATCACATGACTTCTGATCGCATAGTTCTTGGTCTATTTGGTGCAAAGTGCAGTAACTAGGCTAGAGAAAGGGTGGGCAGAGCTGTCTTTGAGTCTAAGCCGAGTGCTGACAGCCAGAGCCAGCTATCCATCAGCTAACAGGGTGGACCCCAACAACATTGTTGGGATCCTTTCAGAGCGTGGAACGGTTCTGTCATGTCAGCTGACAGCGGGCAACAGCCCTTTATAAACTGACTCTAGGTCACAGGAGAGCAAAAATAAATGCAATTATATGATCCTCAAGACAAGTAGGGCCAAAAGACCACAACACAAAAAAACAGGACGGAGTAAACTTTTAACGGAACACACTGCAGCAAAGGTCCTCTAGCAAAACAACAGAGAAAAATTCCAAGCTCAACTTACCAACCAGCCTGCAACCAACCGAATTGTCTCCTAACAGTTCATATTAAAACAGGGGTTTAGTTTGCACACACTTGCAAATGCATGCATAAGCTGCAGAGCCTCTTCGTGGCTGGGCTGCCCCCCCCCCCCCCCCGGTATTCTGCAGTTCCTAACTCTATAAATTTTGAGAGCCTCCACAGTAGAAGTGCATGTATAATAACAGATAGACTGAGGGCAGAAAAGACTGGAGGAAGCCCACCCCTCCTTAACCATTTAAAGACGGCCCCATAGCTGATGTACTTCTACAAGGTGGTCAAGTTGTGCAAAATCACACACACACACACACACACACACACACACACACACACATATACACACACATATATACACACATGGTTCCGCATTTCTGGTTAGGGTACGTGCACATTGTCCTACCCCGCACAGTCATTTTCTCCCGAAGATGTCAATCATAGGGTCCCGGCCAGCGATTCATGGCCAGGACTTGGATATTAGCGGACAAGCTGACAGGGGAGAGATCTGTGTGTAAACAACACAGATCTGTTTCCTGTCAACGGGGATGTGCTGCTTTCTATAGAAAGTAGCACATCCCCTAGTAAGACACAACACCCTTTGATCGCTCCAGATGTTAAGCCCTTTCTGTCCAGTGTCATTAGTACAGTGTCAGTGCTTTTTATTAGCACTGCTCACTGTATTAGTGTCACTGGAGAGGTCAGTGGAAGTTAGTTCCCACCCAGCGTCAGTGTCAGAATGTCCATCGCAGTCCCACTAAAAAGTCGCTCATTGCCATTACTAGTAAAAAAAAAAATTTAAATATAAAAAAAAAAAAATTTTTTATGGGTATGTTATATAGTAAAAAATATTGTTTCTTTTTCAAAATGTTGTTTATTAGCGCAAAACATGAAAAATGCAGAGGTGATCAAATACCAACAAAAGAAATTTCTATTTGCGGGAAAAAATTATATAAATGTAATTTATGTACAGCGATGCATGACTGTTGTCAGTTAAAGTAACGCAGTTCCATATCGCAAAAAATAGCCTGGTCATGAAGAGGGGTAAATCTTCCAGGGAAAAAGTGGTTCAAGGTACAGGGGCGCATTGGACACCCAGCATATACCACAATGGCAGCCAAGGTGTCCAATGTGTCCCCTCACCAGTATATCTACAGTACAAAGAGGCAAATGTGCCAATCTGGAATTGGTCTTTACAGCAAGGAGCACATGGAAGGGTGACGCTGTATCTTGTACTTGTGCCTTGGGATGCCATTCGGATTGAAGAGCAGTTTTATCACGCACCAGTCAGTGTGAATCCATGTAAAAAAAGGCCATCTTTCAGATCAATTTCATACTGTAGAAATTGAGAAATTAAATTAACTTTTAAATGAATTTTCCCCAATTTGTTTGCCATATAAAGGCAGGCCCTAGAGGTATTGATAGTGTCCTTGGAGAAAATGTCATTGCATTTACAGTCTATAGCATCTGCTATGTCTATATGAACATTCCCTTGTCAGCTGTAGATAAAACATATGGCTAATGTACTGTAGGTAATATTTACAAGCTAGGTGGCAATATTTCTAACTAATCAGCATATGAAGCCTGAAAGGATGTATTAGAAATGCAGAGTTGTGCTTTAAAGATGAACTCCAGGATCAGTAAAATATTGCTTACATACAAGAGGCAAGTATAGTCTTACTTGGTGTGTTCCTTCCAGATCTGTGCAGTGTGAAACTTTGCCTCTGTACAGAAGCTTCTTGTAATAAAGACTGGACACCGCTGATTGTTCCCCTTGTGCTGGGTGACTGGTTTTACATCTGCCCCCTGCTGTAGATTTCTGTAGGCAGCACATAAAATGAGGAGCTGCTGGACCCATCCCACATCTCTTCTTTTTGCACAGGCTATGTACAGCACAGTGAAGTTGCTGCTACTTTTACAAGGTAATACCTGGGTTTGCGTAGGTATTTTGGCACACAAACTTGTGGATTTTTAAGTTTCCCGACTATTGAGCAATATATTTGAAAAAGCTTATAAGCCTGGACTTCAGCTTTATGTGTGAACGCATGCAGTACTTACAGGTGCATAATTTTTTTTCCCCAAGCAAGGCAATAAGATGGCTTAGGCACTCATTGCAAGGCTGTCTTTCTTCCCTTTAATAACAATGAATCTCAGTCCTAGTATTGACAAAGCAATCTACCACTAGACACAAGCAGGGCAATATTTTCTCCCACAGAAAGGCAGGTATAGTAAATTCCCTATGTTGTATAACTTGGCAAGATTGAGAAGGGCTACATGAACAGTCCGTTAATTTATACCTCCATACTGCAGCCTGCTGCAGGAAAAAAAAAAAAACAAAGCACCAAATGTCTGCTGGTGGGAATCTTTGTAATGTACAGATCTATTTAAAAATACACCAAAAAGTTCCTCTTTTTATTTCGTATAGGGCGGAAATAACAGATAACTGCAATTTAAGTGGAACAGCTGATAAAAGTGTCCAAAACTACACAAGCATCTCAAGCAAACTACATAAACATTTATATACAGTACATCTGAAGTACACGTATTTAACTTTTTTTGTGCCAAAGGATTTATACTTTAATTTATTATGGGCACTTATATTGAACCATCAATTTACGCAGCTTGTATTCAGTCTTATCTTGTTAGGGCCCCTGTTGTCAGGTTTCTGCATGCGGCAGAATGGTTTTGCAATCCCAAAGTGTAGGGCATGCAAAATCCGCTTGAAGCAGGTGAAATACATGTCAGATCAACTGCAGGTCAAATGCACCAGTCAATGAATTCTGAATGATCCCAGAAGGCTCTCATACGGATGTTATTATGATACATGCTGTTCATCACATGATGATGCCCTAGGGACTGCACTATCTCCTGCTTCAGTTTTCAAGCTTCCTGCATTATCTATGTGTTCATTGGAAATATTAGCATTGCTAGATTCATTGTCCAGTGAGCAGTCAGGGGACACAGGAATCATAAAATGGTGAAATAGCAAACCCTCCCAGTTATGTATTGTGGTAGGGATGTGTAAAATCATGAGACTGGCTGCACTCAAACATCAGTCCATGAGCATGAAAGGAAAATCAGGTAAACAAAAATACAAAAGAAATTGTGTGGGCAGAACAAACATATTTGACGATAAAGGCTGTCTGTTTACTAGACATTTTAATTACCACTTGGAATGAACAATGTATGGATAACAAGTTTCAAGAGGATGGTTACTCAGAATCTGCAATAACAGAATCAAGAAACATTCCAGGCTGAAGACTAAACTGTACTTACACGTATCTGCAAATACGTCACACCATCATAAACATAATATAAAGATCTCAGTGCCAACTCATTTTAAACTGAACCTCATACTGGGTTGAGAGGTAAGCATCACTTGTTAAAACACAGCGGTAAATAATGCATGCGTGTTTGCATTAGAATAACTTGTGCTGTTTTTAACGCAGGAATGTGCAATTCACCAAAAAAAAAAAAAAAAACACATTAAATACCGCCTGAGTTAAACTTAGTTATTTTGAGGTATTTAACATGTGTTTTTGCACCTTATTTTAAAACGCAGAATGGACCTCCAACTGCATCGCGTAAAGAAACATTTAGCAGTGGTATTCCTCCCACTGCTAATTGTAACAGTTCAGCTCAGGGAACTGCTGGTTGTTGTTGTGGAGTCAGCACCTGTTGGAGTCCTAGCAACCATGACTTACCTCGGCTGTCAGTGGGGATTCCCTGTTGACAGCAGAATATAAACAAACGAGTCAACAGTAAAAAAAAACCCAAAACAAACAAAAACAAGCATGTTGTTCTCCCCTCCTCAGTCCATACAGTCCCTTAGGATCTGGTATGCAGCCTGATAGGCCAGGAAAGGGGGGAAGAGATGGAACAATCATGTGCCCTCCCTCTTCCCCCAAACATACCATGCCACCTAGTGCTAGGTGTAGCCACTGGTCCTG